ATTATTACTTAATATTATCATATATTAATATTACAATATTATATTACTTTATTTATATAATATAATATAGTATATTAAGTATTATAATACTATATATTATATTACTTTATATATATTATAATACTTATATTATATTATATAATATTATATTACTTAGTAATTATAATTTATCATATATTACTTACTATAGTATACCATATATAGTCAATATTGAAATTTATTTATTATTACGAGAGAAATATTTCGATCTGTTATTATTCAATTAACTACGCACCCTTCGTTTGCTCCTTATACCCTCCAATTGGCCAGCAGTATTTTCACCGATGCTTTGCGAGCCCCACAGCTCCAAACCGATTCTTGCGTACGTGAATGTCATCGATCCAATTGGTAAAATGTACGTCAACACCATGAAGATTACGTTGTACCTGAAAAGGCGGGAAAATTTGAATTCGAGTGTTAATCCTGGACGAAATCTACGGACGAGTACAAACGAAAAAGAAAAAAGAAGCGAAAGATGAAAAAGAAAGAGAAATATGTACGAAGTTCAATGTACATTTTTCTTCTGTAAACTTACAGAAACGTGGTTTAAAGAAATTTTTGACGAATTTTCTTTTTTTGCTTGGAAAACATATTTGCCAGAAAGTTCTATGAATTTCCAATTCGATTGAATTAATCAAAAGTAACAATTCGTTTCCTTAAATTCTTAAAAATCGAGGAAATTGTAAATTTTTCCTCATCTCTAAAATACGTTTGTGTTTTAAATGTACGTTATTTTTACACAATTTAAATTTGGAGTTGGGTACAAGATCAAATTTTTCGAGTTTCGAAAGTGATGAAGATATTTACGAAAAAAAAAAAAAAATAATTATTTTTAAGAAAACGTTTAAGAGGATTTTTAACTTAGGACTTTAAGAAAAAAAAACGTGCTTACAACAAAAATAAAAGCCTGTTGTAAAAATACTCTCCTACCATTAATAGCTAATAATAGGTATCTATATCTGCTGTCTTTACTTTTCACTATCTATCCTTTAACACACCTTAGAACTATAATGGAGAAGCTAAGAATAGATTCTAAACCCAAGAAGAAAAGGTAGATTTTGATCAAACTTGGGAAGAAAAACGCATCGATTCTCGTTCACCTAATTTTCGACATTTAATGCGTTATCACCTAATTTGCATATGCTTGGAAAGCATATTTGACAGAAAGTTCTATCAATTTCTACTTTTCCTAATTTTACACCTATCTCTGTGAAACCTATATTTATCCTTTATCCTATTTTAAAAGAAAAGAATAGAGTACGTAAATTTATCACCTAATTTGCATATGCTTGGAAAGCATATTTGGCAGAAAGTTCTATCAATTTCTACTTTTCCTAATTTTTTTCTATCTCTGTGAAACCTATATTTATCCTTTATCCTATTTTAAAAAAAAAGAATAGAGTACGTAAATTTATCACCTAATTTGCATATGCTTGGAAAGCATATTTGGCAGAAAGTTCTATCAATTTCTACTTTTCCTAATTTTACAATTTCTACTTTTCCTAATTTTACACCTATCTCTGTGAAACCTATATTTATCCTTTACCCTATTTTAAAAGAAAAGAATAGAATACGTAAATATATATAAAAGAAAAAAATTCCTTAAGTATATACAATGAGTATGAGAAGCGATACGTGATTCAAGAAACTTCGTTTCACAGGAATTAATCCTGTTCAAAGAGGACAGGCTACTCTCTGTATCTCGGAAACGATAAAGCGAAGAAGAAGAAGAAAAAAAGTAATCATTAGCAGCAGATTCGTTAAAACAAGACAGTTATTAGTTCCTCTGGCGAGGAAGATGCAATTAAAACTCCTCTGCAAACGAGATTCACGTCAACGTGAGTATTTTATCGTAAAATTTGTCGTTAATTGTTGGCTTAATGTAGGGAACGATGGTAGAAGTTCAATGTGGAAAATATTCGATATTGCTCGACATCGAATTAAAAATCTTTCTCTAGATCAGAAATTTGTATGTTGTACACACGATATTAAGTTTATTAAGAAATAATATTATATTAAGAAATAAACTAAGAAATAAACTCGATACGATATCTTCCTTTCGATAAATAAAATAAAGAGGCAAATAAGTAATAAAATAATATATAATAATAAGAGGCAAATAAGTAATAAATAATAAATAAAATAAAAAGGCAACAAGAATCTTGTAATTATAAATTGATTAATTAGGATTGGTTAAGGTTCAGAGAGATAAGCTCACAGGTATTCGTCGTAACTGAGACCGTTGTCGTCCCTGTTCGGGAAATCGCCGTAGCAGACAACCCGTACTTCGCCATTCACGAAATTTTGGGTGTAAGTCCTGTAGAAGAGTAGCATAGGCAGCGACAAGACGGCCCCCACGATCCAGATAACGATGGCTATGCAAATCGTGGCCCTTTTACCCATGCGCGGCCTCAAAGGGTTCATTATGGCCATGTATCTGGAAACAGACGACACCGCGTTAATAATTAAAATTTGTCCCTGGGGACACGTTCAAAAGAAATTCGCGATCATAAATTAATCAAATCCTCGTCGCATCAAGTTGGAACGCGCGAAAATTTCTTTGTCTCCTCCCAGGTTTTTGAGAGGGTTGATACGGATACGTAGTCGAAACGATGTTTTCCGATTTTATTTGAATTATATCGTGTCCATCTTATTTATATATATCAGAGAAGAAATAAATATTTAGAAACAACGTTTTTCGAAGCTTTTAATATCCGTTGCTTTTGAAAATAATTTTTCAGATCAAACGATAGTATAGAATGTCTCGAAAATATGGGAACATAGGTTAACTGGCCTCGTTATGGCTTTATTAACAAAAAAGTACAGTAAAGTGTCGTTGTACAAGTTTAAAACAGTATGTGTGGAAGAAAATCTGTACGATAGAAATTAAATATTTTTTTATCGAAAAAGAAAATTATTATCCTTTATTCAGGAATTGTGAATAATTAATTGTTATTTGCAAAATTGCATTATGTTTTTTTATCTTCCTCTTCTTTCATCTCCTTTGTCATTTTTCTTCTCACTTCCTTCGTCATCCTCCCTTCTTTTTTCCTCGTTCCCTTCCTTTTGTCATCCTCATCCTCCTCCTTCTTCTTGTTCAAACCTCTTCCTACCCTTGTCATTTTCATCCTCCCTTATGCCGTGTCATCATATTCTTTTATTATCATCGTTTCATTGCCATTCATCTTCCTTTGTTATTTTCATCCTTATCGTTCTTATCGTCCATTCTCCTTTATCATTTTGTCTACTATTTTTTTTTTGTCATCCTTCTCCTTTCTTCCTTTATCGATTCCTCTTCGTTCCCTTTTTTATTAATTTTTCTTTTTCCTTCTCCTCTTGAAGATGAGTAGAAGGATAAAGGAAGAATAGGGATGAGAATGGGAAAAAAGGTGAATGGGATAAAGATTGACGAAGAAGAGACAGAATGGAAATGAAAAAGAAAGAGAAGAGGAGAAGGACAAAGAAGGATAAGAGAAAAAAGTTGACAAAAAGAGAGGATGAGAGGATGACAGAAAGAGAGAAAAGGAAAATAAGAAAAAGGAAGAGATAAAGAATGAATTAATCTACGAATAATAATTAATTAGTTTATTCATTGTTTCTGAATAAAAGTTAATTCAATATAATTTTTTTTTTTCAAAAAAAAAGTTTTTATTATATCGAACAAACTTTTTTCGACTTTGCACTTTGCTTGGACTTGTTCATATTTCGTCGGCGGTACATACCCAACACTATCGTCGCCATTTGACTAATGATCAGCCAGTGTTTTTTTTTTTTTTTTTTTTTTTGTTAATAACTCGTTAACAAAATCGTAACGAAAATTTTTCTAGAGGAAAATATTGCTTAAAAAGAATCTTATCTCAATATCCAGTTAATCGGTGTTGCAACAGTTTTTAGAATATCTTGTAATGAACATTTGAGTTAATGGACTTTTCAATTACTGCTAATCGACATATTATTCATTGTCATCGATATTAGCAGATATCGTTCAGAAAATTCTGAAATTTCTGACAAAATTAAATCAATAAAAATTAGAATTTAAAATTATAATCAATTAGTTACAAATTGTTATTAATCTTACTTTGAAAGGTTCCTTTTCTTTCCTTTTTTTTTACTACAATTTATCATACCTTATCTCTTTTAAATGAGTGTATCCAAGATAAGATTTTACTAATAGGAGGTACCTACCAATAGAGAGCTAAATATAACCATAAATTCTTTAAATGATCGTATTAGAGTAATGAATCATTTTTAAATATATTTAGCCTCGCTAAGTGAGACTATTATCTTTCAAATTTTTTCGTAATTTGTAAAAACATTAGTAACGTTTTCCGCGTAAATTTTTGAATGTATAAAGTTTAATTTAATGAATTAGATTAATTTGAGAAAATTGTAACGAACCGTGAATGAAGAATTTTTTTTTTTTTTTTTTTGCAGAATTTTACGCAATTCTATGAAAATGAAAAAATTACATATGTATTTTTATTTTATTCTTTTTTTATATATATATATATATTTCTAACTGTATGTAAATATTTCACGGAACAAAAAATTCTGGATTTTTTCGAAGGGTGATTTCAACACGTGTCGATGTTTTTTTTGGCCCCAAAAAAATTGGTCTGTTGGTCGCTGTTCACGTATGCAATGTTTTATAATTTTTTAAATTTTCACTCTCTCTCCCTCTTCTATCTCTGTTTGTTAAAAATTTCATCGCCAAAATTCCTTTGAGAAATTGTTGTGCACAAAAGAGATGTAAAAAAAAAAAAAATTTCTTCTCTCTTTCTGGAATATCATATCGCCAATATTATATCAGAAAATATATCATCATAGTCGCATAATTTAAAAAAAAAAAAAAAAAGAAAAAAAAATAGCCACAAGATAGGTAAAAAGAAAAAAAATATTGAAATATTTAAATTTCAAATACTACTGCCTACCATCACCCGTTCGAAAAAAAACGAAATAGAATCGTCGAGCTATAAGGTCGAGGGGATAGTTTGTAAAAATCTATTTTTCAATATATACCTATCTATCTGGTGGCAAATCCATTTTGTCGAAGCGTTGGAAGGGCACAACTGGGATACATGCACATCTTTTTCTTCCAACGACTTTCACGCTTTTTAAATTTGACTCGGCATCGCCCCCTACTGAGCTGTATCCAACTCGGGTCTCTAACTAATTAAAATCCTTCAAAGTTATAAAAACATAAAAATCTTTTAAAAAGATAAAAAATATTTCAATGTAAATGTTAAAAATCGATTTAAAGTAAAATTTCACGATAATCGATGTTTTTAAAATTCTTACAAAATTTCTAAATCGTCCCTTTCGTCCCTTTCGTAATTTTTTTCTTTTTTTCTTTCTCAACATAAGAGATATACGTACTTAGATTTAAAAAAAGGCGCGAGAAAGGTGTACAAAAGGTATAATTGAAAATAAAATGGCGTTAAAAGAGGAATTTATGATTGTGAACGGAAGTGGCGATCTTCTCGCAATTCTTTTACGGATTTTAGAATGTAGGTCGCTATGGAATATTTATGGCGAAAGGTTTACGTTTATTGAATGTCAAATCCATTGTAAACGGAAGTTTTCTTTGAGATGCATACGAGTTGAATATATATATATATATTCTTGCCTTTTTTTTTTTTAGAAATAAAACCGAAATTTCAAATTCCAGAAGAATTATAGCGTTGGAGTTTGTAAAAAAAAAACAATTTCGTAGTTGAATTCCTCCGTGAACAAAATTTATTTGAATGATTCATAGATATGATTCATAAGAGATTATAAATGAATATCTCGTAAATAATAATGCCCTACGAATACTATACACGATATATCCCATACAATACATAACAATAACAGTACACTGTCGTTATTATGTATTAACGAATTCTGAAATTTCAAACTTCTGTGTTACACGGATATATATTTATATCATATTATTATATTGTTATATACGGCGTGTTAAATCTAAAAATTTATTTACCGCAATTTTCCAAAATATTTTATTTCGCGTGCCAGGATTTGAAGAATCTAAGGAAATTTATCTGAAACGAAATTTGTCTCTCGTTTCAGCCTTTCAAAATAACTCTCAAGTTTGTTCACGTGGGAGGGGGGGGGGGAGGAGGGAAAAAAGAATCTTGCCTCGGATCTTTTTCCTTTCACAGAAATCTAAACAATGGAATTTTCCTTCGGTCCCCTCACCGAGTCAGGTAAAAAAAAGGTTAAACCGTGGACAACTTTGTGCCAGAAATTTCTAAAGATAGACGAACTAGTGTAGCTTGTATGCACTGCGTTCTATCGTTCATTTGACAAAAAAAAAAGAAAAGAAAAAAAGGAAACGTATAATATAAAATGGGATAAACGAATGAAAAAGTAAAAATCGTCAAATAAATTATTCCTTTTAAACTGTGTTTCCTCAAAAGAATTTTCGAAACTTGTTTTCCATTTCCCTTTTTATCAACAGGCCAATCTTTCCTAAGAACTTTTACTTTCTTCATCTTATCTCCTTTCTTATCACCTTCCTCAACTTCTCGTTTAATCACGAGATTCGAAATTCGTATATTTTTCCGTTTCTCCTTCCTTTTCCTCGTGCATTCGCAACAAATATCGTTCAACGAATAATATTTTCGTCGCTCTTTTAGTGATAGTGTTACAGTATCGAACAGCGCACAAACATGGAAAAGTTTCAGGAACCGACAATTTCTCGCAACGATGGATCGATGGATGTTTTACATCTTGACCTGAAATTTTGTGTCTTGCGAAACTGCATACGTATTGCCACTTACCTTCCCTAAAAGCCAAGGGCTCGATCAATTTTCCATCTGATCAATCTTTCTTTCTTTTATTCCATTCCATTTTATTCTTTGCTCTTTGTTTTTTTTTTATTCAAAATGTTCTGCTGAATAATTATTTATTCGATTAACAACACGAATTAATTAACAACAAATTAATTAACAACAAATTAATTCAATTAACAACACAGAATTAAAAAAAGGAAAGGCATGGTGTTAATCTTAAGGAAGAAATAGTCTTTTAATATGGAAAACTTCGTTGAGCATATTTTTGAAGGAATTCTCTTTCGTTGAAAATATGCTTAAAAAGAAATTTTTCGAAGGATCAGATCGAGAATTTAATTTTAACTCGATCTCTGGATACTGTGTAAATAAAATAGAATAAAATAATTTTTAATATTAACTGGCGATGGCGGGAGAGACTTTTACTTTCTTATCACGCAAGTTGCATAGAAAAACTTGCAAAGGCACATAATTCAGGTAAAGTGGTAAACTTGGTTTGCGCTTGTCGTTAATGTAAAAGCAGCGCACGTGCCTCTTGTACGAATCGAGCTTAGAAATGAGAAATAAAACGATCTCCAGGGATTATTTTTTTATGATCACCTCAATGCGCTTTATAAATTTTATTGAAACCAGATAAACCTTTTGAAATCATTATTACATCTCTATATTTTATATATTCTTTTCTTTCTTGGGGATTATTTTTAAAAGAAGGTGAGAAAGATGTGAAAGAAATCATTTAAAATGGAAAATTTGATGATATATTGTTTATTATTAATTGTATAACGTATCCTATTTTTTATGGTCACCACAACTCAATGCGTTTTTGAAATCAGATAAATCTTTTGAAATCATTATTACATCAATATATCATTGGATATATTGGAATTATTTTTAAAAGAAGATGAGAAATATGTGAAAGAAATTATTTACACAACTCAAATTTTATTGAAACCTTTTGAAATCATTATTATACTTTTATATTTTATATGTACTTTTATTTTATATGTACATTTATATTTTATATTTTATATGTTCTCTTTTTTTGGAATTATTTTTAAAAGAAGGTAAGAAAGGTATGAAATATTATTATTTACATTACAATTCAAATTTTATTGAAACCAAATAAACCTCTTGAAATCATTATTATACCTCTATAGTTTATATTTTTTTGGAATTATTTTTAAAAGAATGTGAAAAAGGCATGAAAGAAATTTAACACTATTTAACACTCCAAATTCTATTGAAATCATTATTATACCTCTATAGTTTATATTTTTTTGGAATTATTTTTATTTTTGGAATTATTTTTAAAAGAATGTGAAAAAGGCATGAAAGAAATTATTTAACAGTACAAATTCTATTGAAACCAGATAAATCTCTTGAAATCATTATTACATCATATTGAACATATTGGAATTATTTTTAAAAGAAGATGAGAAAGATGTGAAAGAAATTATTTATACAACTCAAATTTTATTGAAACCTCTTGAAATCATTATTATACTTTTATATTTTATATATTCTTCTTTTTGGAATTATTTTTAAAAGAAGATATGAAAGATTATTATTTGCATTACAATTCAAATTTTATTGAAACCAAATAAACCTCTTGAAATCATTATTATACCTCTATAATTTATATTTTTTTGGAATTATTTTTAAAAGAATGTGAAAAAGACATGAAAGAAATTATTTAACACTACAAATTCTATTGAAATCAGATAAATCTCTTGAAATCATTATTACATTTATTTTTTTTTTTTTTTTTTTTTTGGAATTATTTAAAAGAAGGTGAGAAAGGCGTGAAAGAAATCACTTAAAAATGGAAAACTCGATGATATATTATTTATTATTAATTGTACAACGTATCCTATTCAGAAATTGATTGTTGCTCGAAGAAAGAACCAATCAATGTAATTTATTCGAGTCCTTTAGAGTCTTTTGTTTAATAATAAACCTCGATACTTGCTGTATAAATATATACGGTATAATACATGTTATGAAGCAATTTAAACGAATGTCATTCGAGCATACAATAGAGACTCGTGAGAGTTTAATTTTAAATGGAAGGTAAATTAAAGGATGTGTATTGAAAGCATGGATTGGATATGGAATAATATGTACTACTACAGTTATTGAGGTAAACATTTTAATCGAAGGTGCACAATTGAATGAAGATAAACGATACGATAAATACAAACTTTTATTTACAACCATTATTTACAAATCACGTTTTTAACATTGCGTGTCATTGTATCGTAGAGAATATATCGTAAACCATTAAGAACTAACTTACAGATTAACTCTATCCACTTTCTGAAAGATGATTTCATCCTCGACTTTGGACATCCATGTACATTGAACGAACGTGACGCGATCTTATTCCTATCTCTAATGTTAATTAAGATTAGCAAACGAATATTCGATGGAAAGTTGGAGAATTAATTAAATTAGGAGGGAAATGAAAGGAAGAAGAAATTAAAATGTACAAAATAATTATGTAAAAAATATAATAATTTTTAATGTCAGTCTTTCGAAATTTTACAAATTTGTATGTACAATTTTTATATTTTCACATGTTACATAATTTTCTTTCCTTCTTTTTCTACAATACAAATATTCGATGAAAAGCTTAAATTAATTAAAATTAGAGAAAAAAGAGATTAAAATACAAAATAATTAAGATAAAAAAAATAACAATTTTTAATGTCAGTCTTTCGAAATTTCAAATATGTACAATTTTATAAATTTTATATACAATTTTTCTATCTTCACACGTTACATTACATAATTTTCTTTCTTTCTTTTTACAATACAAACGAATATTCTATGAAAAGTTAAAATATTAAATTAAAATACACATATATAATAAAAATAATTAAAATGAAAAAAAATTTTTTATGTCAGTCTTTTAAAATTTGTATCTTCACACATACGTTACATAATTTTCTTTCTTTTTACAATACAAACAAATATTCTATAAAAAATTAAAAGATTATAAGAAAATTAGAGAAAAAAGAAATTAAAATACACATATATATATATAATAAAAATAATTAAGATAAAAGAAATTTTATGTCAGTCTTTTAAAATTCGTATGTACAATTTTCTAAATTTCATATGTACAATTTTTGTATTTGCACACGTTGTATAATTTTTCTTCCCTTCTTTTTATATACACACTATAATAATAATAATATAGATAATCGATTCAAAAGTATTTATATTTATAAGTGAGTTGCAAATACTCGGTTTCCTCGTACGCGGTTGATTCTTTGATCTTAGTACCAGCGACGTACATGTGAATCAATTTCTTCCGACTCTTCGCTATTCTCGCGGCTCGCTTCAAAGTAGCAACCCCCACTTGGTAGCAACCCTCCATGTCTATAATTGCTATCTGCGAACAATTATTGAGGACACCGCAAATGTCCTCGTCCGTGATGGCCACGTTCTTCCTGCAATGGAGCTCCGTCAAAGATTCCAACGATTGCAGGAAGAAGAAGGACACCGAGGGATGCATGCAATTTATTTCCAAGATTTGCAGCTGGCTCAAAGAGGCGAGCGGTTCCAAGTACTCGTCCCTTATACTTTTACAACCGCTCAGATTCAAATAGCTGAGATTCCTCATGTAACGGCCGATATCAATAACGAAATTGTAATTCACCCATATGCAATAGGCGACGCTCAAACGATTCAGCTCACGATACAATTTCGGTATGGACTTCTCCCTCAGCCTGTTGACCAGCACCTGGGCTATATCATTTTCGGGTTCTATAAATGAGCAATGGTGAAATTTCATCAAAGATAAAGTCCTGAAAAGATTGGCATTCGTGTCGATGAGGGTGCGCAAGATAGTGTTGTCTCGGAGATTGGCGCAATATATTATCTCGAGATGGCGCAACCTCTTCATGTTCGACAACGTGATAGAAGCGAGCCGCGACTCCAAGTGAGAACAATTTCTCAGTATCAACGTCTCTAAATTGGGATGCAAGTGGGTCAGACATTTTCCGTAAATATTTGTTCCATCCGCCCTAAAATAGCGCAGTTCGATAGCTTTGTCGAATATTTTTCCAAGCTCGGCGTCGACGGGCCCCTCGGTTGTACCCAAGCTGAGGGATTTCAATTGGCTGCTCAAAAATTTGAACGTCCTCAGAGAGGAGGGCCAGATTCTCAACCCCGTCAGATCAACCTCGGCCAGTTGTGAACAATTCCAACCGATGGCGGACACGATACGAGGCTTCACATTTTCCAACAAACGTTCGTCGTTTATCGCTATAGTTATGAGAGTCTCACCCTGCCGCCTCACCATCCAATCGAAGAAACTCGTGGTGATATATTTTCTCTCGGGCCAACGCCAATCCTCGAACTCGAGATGGCGAACGACGCGATGGGACAGCAGGCTGCCCTCCCTCCAAAGGGAAGAGACCATCTCGAGGCGCGCCCTGTCGGCGTACGGCAGATATCTGGCGATCTTGGCGATGCAATCCGGGGGTAGCTCGACCGAGAAGTTGCACCCCTCTTCCCCGTTTCCCTCCCGCCATTTTTTCGGGCGCGCCATAAACATCTTCAACCTTTTGAAATCGCAAACAAATCCTTCTTCCCTCGACAACGCCAACACGCTCGTGGCATCCTCCTTCGTCTTGAACGTAACGAATGCTTGATTGCTGTCCGGGTATCTTCTCAATATAACAAGGTTTGTAGCGTTGTACGGCGTCAGCATGCCTAATAATTTCCTTTTGCTCGTGTACGGCGATAAATTGGACACGAATAAGCGTCGCCCGTTCGTCGTAGATTCGATCGATGCCATGTTTGATCAACGAGTGTATATATATATATGTATATATATATATATATAAATATATATATAATATATCTACGAGTAAATTGAAATTTTTTGAATTTCTTTTTTCACCCTCTCTTGTCAAAAGAAATCGATAGAGTTTCTGGTAGAATTTTTTTTTCGAAAATAAAAAGAAAAATATCTGGTACTTACTAGAGAAGGTTCGATGAAGTTCTGCTCGTTCACAGGGAAACTTGAATGTTAGCCGTCTTGAAAGTTCGGGTGGTGTATCTCTATGTCGATACTAGTCGAGTGGTACTGATCCACGAATGCTCTTTTCCGTCTATATATACCCCTAGCGTACCCTCTCTGTCCTTTTCCAGCCCATCGTCCGTTTCGCTCTTGCCAAAGCCTTAACGGCATTCCTAGGGGAAAGTTAGTCACGTAGGCAGAAAAAGGATGATTAATGGCCAGGCTTACGTACCTACCCCTCCGTGCGCTTTCCCTTTTCTCCTAATTTCCGGTGGTTAGAAAAGCCAGTCCACTCGAAGAAGAAAAATATTTACAACGCGTGTATTTTTATTTATTATCGTTGAAAGAAATACATACAGATAAGGATGACTCAAAAATTTCCAAAATTTCAACACGCAAAAATCGTCGATCGATAAATAAATGAATCAATAATGAAAATATATTCAAATTTTCGTTAAGCCAAATTTCTTTCCTCTTCTCCCGTTTAAATGTTTATTCTTGTATAAAAGTATTTTTCTTAATTTCTTTCTTTCTTTTTTTTTTTTTTTTTCTCTCGTTTCGTTCCTCGAATATTTTTAATCAAACGTTCAAATTGTTACTGAGATTAAGATTCACGTGGCTGTATATTATCTGTATATTTTCATCGATCTGTCGAACCGGCAACACCGACATCGGCATCGGAATTTTAATCGGTTTTCCAATTGTCGGGAAATAGCACCATAGGCATTTTGATTAAAATTCGAATTGCGGTGTATGTTCACGTTTGAATTTCGATTCACATGGATCTTCGTATTCAAATGTTTATTTATGCCTTTCGTACCTACGACCAAAATTTTCCGCCATGAATCGGATTTTTAATAGTTAAAAAAAAATAATAATAATGATAAATGTAAACTCGATTATATATATATATATATATATATACATACCTTGTACATTGAACGTTACACGTTACACGTAAACATATATCTATACAAGATAATCGTTTGTGTGGGATATGGTTGAGAAAAGTTACGAAAAAAAATGTAAACAGAAGGGAATATCGATGGAACGAAATCATAACTTTTCTTAAATTAGTTATTAATACGGTGTCTGCGAAATAACGTGTATAGGGAATATTCTCTCTCTCTCTCTCTCTCTCTCTCTCTCTCTCTCTCTCTCTCTCTCTCTCTCTCTCTCTCTCTCTCTCTGCGTTTTATCTCGAGAAATGGGTTTGCTTGTAATGTTTTGCCTGAAAATGTCGCAAGGATCGTAAGATGAAATGTAATTTATTCAAGAATCTGGGAAATTATAAAGAAAAGAGAGGCAGCGAATGATTTTGCGAGAGAGAAACGAGTCGATTTAGTGAGAAAAATTACAATTTTAATGAAAAATTGATTGTCAAAAAAGTTTGAAATAAGAAAAAAATTTTTCCATCTTACAAATACTGCAAATATTCGAAATATTCGAAGAAAAAAAAAAAAAATAAGCTAAACGCTTGCCGTATTGATCGATAATATTATATAATAATAATATTAATCGATGTAAACAACTAGAGAAACATGGAATTAATGGACGAATAATTGGATAAACACGTTCCTCATAAAATGGATTAAATTGGGAGCAGCGTAATTGTATCGATTCGTGTAGCTAATAATTGCAAGTGTGTATAAAATTATTTTTTTATTTTATTCTGTAAAAAAAAAAATATTGCTTGCTATTGATAATAATAATATCTAAAAATATATATATATATATATATATAATAGAAAATATCAAGGTTTTATAGGTCTTGTTTACGTGTATTCGAGCAACTCGAATTTAATGTATGTATCTTATGTTGCAACGTCATTATATTGATTTTCAAATATCATCGACAGGTTTGTCGATAATGTAACAAGTGATATTTTGATAGATACTTGATCACTCTTGTCACTAAATCGTATTATGATTGATAATACGTATATTGGAATAATTTGGTTTAATATTAGAAAGCCCTATTTCCACAAGAAAATAATAGTAAAATAAATAATGCATTTATTCTTATTTTATTTGTAATAAGATGGAATTAAAAAAAAAAAAAAAAAAGAAAACTTATTTTTAATCCCATTTCTCGATGACATTAACAAACGATAATTGACTTCAAATGAAATCTGATTACTTCACTTTGTTCCATTTCACGAAGCCAATTATTATCATTAAGAGATTTAAAATATTTAAATTTTCTATAATCGAGATCTGATCAAAGAAAAGAAGATCTTCATTAGTTTTATTATTAATTTATACGAAAAAAATTCTTGAACTTTATTATAAAAATTTCGAAGAAAAAATTTTTTGTAAAGTTAATAAGGAACATTAAAAAATTTTTCTATTTTTTCTTGTGCATACTCAAAGGGAGTACTCTTGCCGCCATGTACAAAGTATATTTTCTGTATTTTCTTCTCTGTTTTTTTCTCTTTTTCGTACAAATTTTTTAAACAAAGCTTATATACCTTACAACGCACACAATTCGCGACCTAAAAAATTGCAAGGATAAAAACGTAAGAAATCTCATTTCCGTGAATTTTCTTCCACGTTGTTTTCTTTACTCCATTTTTAAATTTTAAAGAGTTTTCGAGATTCAACAGAGATTCGATTCGATCGTTCAAATTCTTTCATTTTTCGCATTATTTATGATATTATTCTTCACAAAAAAAAAAAAAAAAGAAAAAAAGAAAAAAGTCAAATATTCTTTTGCAAATACAAGTAAAATTCAAAAATTTCTAAAGCATCATAAATTTGTATCACGTTACACGATAAGACCATGATGGTATACTCGATACACGCACAATTTATATGTAGGGCCTATGCGATAACCTAACCTAAACCAGGGACCCGATTCGAAAACCATACGAAGAGATTAGATAATTATGTTGAACCTTAGACCTCGGTGAGTTGCTATTTTAAGAAGGTACGAAAGAACAGGATGTCTAAAGCTATGCCACATCCTGTATAAGGTTTCTTTTAATCCTCTAAAATTTTAATATTGGTATTGTATCGTACGCTCGATCGACACAAACTCCTCGCTATTCGCTTTTTGTTTTAAAAGAGATACAAAAAAGAGGAAAGTCATACTAGATTTATCAATCTTTGTCCGAATTCTTTTTGTTGCGAAACTAAGACAAAGATGACGCATTGAGAAAACAAAGCTATATAAAAGCCTCTTTCTCTATACTACTATATTATCTTCAAACGTTGCATACAAAATGGAATGTACATTTAAAATGCTGTAATAGAAATTATTATCGAGAAAATAAATACAAAAAGTACGTATTTTTAAGCACGAAAGTGTAAATTGGAAAAACAGAGATCATACGATCATCTTTTTTAATTGTTACAAATTTTGTTTTAAATTTATTATTTTAATTATTTTTTATTATATTCTTTATGCTTATTTCCCGTTATTCCCCGTGTTCCGAAATATACACAGTGCGTATACTACAAAAGGTTTTCAAAGTGACGGTGCATTAGTCCAACAGTTTCGTGTTTCTTTGAAATTCTTTGAAATTTTCAAAAGGATCGGTTCGTGTCGTCCAGCCCTTAAATTCCTCGAAACATCTGTCTCCCTTCCAGAGATACGATGCGTCAAGGACATAGTAACGGAAAGGACCAGATGCAACAACGCCTCCAACATTTTCTACTACGAATCACTTGAAACAAAAATTGAAAAATTATCGATGCATTTAATCTATCATAACTTACATAGATCGTTATATAGTTGTAAACATTTAACAAAAGTTAGTTAAAAATTTGTTATTCACGTAGGTTTCTTACGCGAGATAAAACGTAAAAAATTAGAAAACGAAAGAATTATTAAGAGAAAAATTTAGTTCGTGCAAGAAGAATGCGTAGCTCACGCCTAATGGCATTTAAGCCGTAACCCCCACTACCATTTTTTGGTAGGTAGCTCGTCAGTGCTCTGTGTTTATATATGTATATGTATACATAGAAACCCTAACCTAGGAATCGTCATAGCGTTAAACTGACAAATCAGTAAAATGTGTGGAAGAAGTAACTTTGGAAGGAAGACGCGAGACTTGGAAGATATTAAATTTTGTTGGGCGATCACGTTTTGCTCGAAGGCAACGTATTATGCTACAGAAAATGACGAGGACATTTGTGAAAATTGCGCGGAGGATGTTCCAAGATTGTTGGAAAAGTTTCACTTTCACGCGCCGGTGCAAGCTGTGTCGAAAGCACGTTGTATAAGTTGCAATCAACGTATTCACCTTACTACAAAAGTGATCAACTGTGTTCAATGTGCAACAATCGCTCTTTCCGAAATGCGTAAAGAGCAAGAAGAATCTAATAATAATAGACATCAATAGAAACGTCGTATTTATCGGATAATCGTATTTTATTGAAAAAAAAAAAAAAGCTACTTCGTAACGGATGACGATCAAGACAGTGTGCATACAATGTACGGAAAATGTTTCGACGCTGGGAACTAGAACATTCCATTTTCACGACCCGATACAAACAGTGTCAAGAGTAACTTTGCGGAAACTGTCACGAATGTATCAACGAATCGAATCCGTATATTTTTCGATCTGCGAGTAAACATCGTTATGTACATTATTAAAAATTACTACTAATGTAGGTGAAAAAGAGTACAAATAGCTTTAAAAATTAAATCGATTGATAAATTTTATGATAATTTTGAGAAATTTTAAAATATTTTTATGTTGTGATATAAAATGAAGATATTAATAGTTATTCGATAAGATTAACGTAATTAAATTGTATCTTATCAATTTTGAGAAATATTGCGTATTGTTTTTGTTTTACGACGATCGTATTTCGAAAAATTTATGTTGTGATAATTATGCATTTTTTTTTCTTTTTTTTTTTTTTTTTTTTTTTTTAATAATCTATATTGTGATAATTTTCTAATTAATTTTACTTATTTAACTCAACGTAGCGTCATCGTAATATTCATATACACACATTCATATTTTAAATTGTATCGGAAAATTTAACTTATTCCTTTTTTGTTATTTACCTCATGTTGTAATATCCATATGTATACACATCCATATTTTAAATTGTAAACTTTAAAATTTAACTTATGCAATACTGTGAAAAATAAACATTGTACATTGTCTTGTGAATTATTGGTAAAAATATATTTTAATATCTCTTATAAAAATATTATATTATATCATAAATACATTATTACAAATACATCTATTATTAGATAATAAATTCTTTTATTAATCCAACAGTTCTTATCGAAATATGTCACGTATTATTAAGACCTTCTTAACAACTAATCAATTTAAACTACTTAATTTCTAATTGTTGCCGATTCAAAGGTATCCGCCAGTTGATATCGCAATAAGTATATTGTCAATGATCGGATATAGAATCCTATCCGATTTCTCAATTCTCGCTTCCTTATCATCGATCAGTCCCCATCTTCTCAATTTCCATCCGTTGTTAGGATTCGAATCCGTGTAATTAACACACGGCTCTATTGGCCAATCTCCGTGGCGGGAAACACGTTATCTTGAATACAGAGGAAAATTGAATTCCGTGATCGTGGTTTGTTCCGAATAAATGAATCTCTCGCGTGATCGATATCACGTGTCCCTTCGTCAAATTAGATTTCTCCAGCGAAATTTTTTCCTTTCCATTCTTTTTATCTTCATCCAAGTTCAATTATCGCTCGATCCATTTCACTCGATTTCTTTCACTCGAATTATTCCTCGCAAATATTTTTTCTTTCTTTCTTTCTTTCTTTTTTTTACAATCGTTTACAATCTTTTAAAATATAATATTTCCAGAAATTAAAACTTACAGACATTCGAGAGTCTGTCATTTATCGATGAAAGATCGAAGAGGAAAAGAAGAGAGGCGGCAGAGAGCTCGGTAAGGAGATGAAAAATTGACGATCGAAGAAGTCAGCTCGCCAATTTTTCCCTAGGGTTCTCGTTACTTATCTTGTCGATATAATTTTCGTTTCACCGCCCGTTTTTAGATCGAAGCCGTGAAATTCTTCGAACTACCAATGTTGTTTTCGAACGGACGAAACTTATCCAGCAACATTTTGTCAAATATTGCGATTTTTCGTTTCATTTTTTCTCTCTGTTCATTTTTTTTTTTTTTTCTTTATACAGCCGACTCCGTATTCCATATTTTCAAGGACGTGGTTATCGATGCATGAATATTTATTAATCATTTTCCTTTACGTTTCTACACGTTTACAATTTACGACGGATAGAAATGACGAGACAGTCGAACATTGTACGTAAATCGATAAACATTCATCTTTTCAGTCGTGATAGAACGATTTAAAATTTCCTTTCTTGTGTCGAATGCTTTCGTCACAAATTAATCGGAATGATACCAAATTCTATTTATTCATTTATTTATTTTTTTCGAATATCTTTTTAAATTTTATCCCCACTTTTCAAAGTAATTATCTCATCAACGTAATTACACGAATGAATTATCTTCAAAATTTTTTTTCCTTTTACTTAATCTTAATTTGACAATATATCATAACATATTTAAGAACGAAACTTTGTTACACATTTTATTTATTTTTCTCTACAAAGGAATATATTTATCGTTTATTTAATATCTAATTAAAAAGTATAAGTATAGCATATTTCTTTCACTTCGATTGAAATGCTCGTTTCGATTTTCAACAAAAATTCTCTAACTTCTTCTGTGAGCCTCGATAACGCACATTATCATTTATCGGTAATGTCAGAGGCAAGCGGAGTGCGATGTGCCATTCATGCTTCCCTTCTTGAATCGTTGAAGCATAATTCTTCGATATATATATATATATACGTGTATACGTATGATACGTGAGCATTCGTGAGCTATTGAAAATCATCGATTGATCTTTCCTGGTAAATTTAGTCGTGGTAAATTTTTCTCTAATAAAAATTTTCTCTCCAAATTATAACATCGAGTATATAATCTCGAGATGCAGTACACGATGCATTCCTAATTTTCTTAGTTGGATTGAATTATATATGTTGCCGCTCTTATCGGATAATTTGATTACAGATAAGAAACATGAAACTGATTACGTGTTCACGCAAATAAACAAACAAACAAGCAAGCAAGCAAGAAAAATAAAATAGATAGATAAATCGTGTATGTATATATTTTTCTTGCATATTACTGTTGGACGGAAAATAAAAGCTGGAAGACAAATGTTTTTCTTCCTACAACGCGACTGCCTCTTTATACCCCCTTTATTTTATCTTCATAAATTTGAATCAAAATTCCAATCCGCGAAGTGAGGAATAATCGTAATAAACATGGTTATTTCGTCCCGGGGATGAAATACGTCTATATATTCGCGGAATGGTGGTGGAAAAAGTTGACTGATACGTATTAAAATATCTTTCGCAACATATTTTCACCCTCGCCACGACTAAGAAGAATGCTTTATGCTTCTGCTTATTTATATCTGATACCAACTCGTATTTTTCAGGGGCATTGACTAATCTGTCCACGGAAAGGGGATAAATTACTATCCTAAATCATCACAAGCATCGTGAAGTTTATAAATTTTTTTTATTCAACCGATAAAGTGAATAAAATATATTATAACTTCGTTCCAAGTTTATTCGAAGATGAAAAAAGATGTATTAAAATAAATAAGAATATTTATTTATTATCATTCGAACAATTTCGTTCGAAAAATTTGAAATTCTCTTTTGTAATGTTATTCATACAATTTAATAACAAATTAACTGGAATTAATAAAGATTTATTCGAAGATAAAAAAGAATGTATTAAAATAAATAAGAATATTTTTTTATTATCATTCGAACAATTTCGTTCGAAAAATTTGAAATTCTCTTTCGTAATGTTATTCATACAATTTAATAAGAAATTAACTGGAATTAATAAAGATTTATTCGAAGATGAAAAAAGAATGTATTAAAACAAATAAGAATATTTCTTTATTATCATTCGAACAATTTCATACGTTTCATTCGAAAAATTTTAAATTCTCTTTCATAATGTTATTCATACAATTTAATAACAAATTAACTGGAATTAATAAAGATTTATTCGAAGATGAAAAAAGAATGTATTAAAAGAAATAAGAATATTTATTTATTATCATTCGAACAATTTCATACGTTTCGTTCGAAAAATTTGAAATTCTCTTTCGTAATATTATTCATATAAAAGACAGGAACAATTTAATAACAAATTAACCGAAATTAATAAAGATTGCAAATAACTCAACCCATAAATTTTGAACAAGTCAATTAACATATACATACACTCGAACAAAAGGTATTAAATATAAAAAGGTATTAAATATAAATAGATATCGCTTTATCAACTTTTTACATCAAAAACGAATTTCGAATAAATTATATTTCCTTTGTAACTTTGTCGTTAAAATTGTCCAGTTTGTATTCAAACGTGTGTGTGACGACTGGCCACAAAAAAAAACTAGAATCCCCTGGTCTCTTTCAGATGGTTCTGACTTTCCCTTGCTTCGGCTTCCGGACCTAGCATTATTTATTTTCCTAGAACTGTGGCGGTCGAGGGCAAAAAAACGGAAAGCAACGCGCCTCCATCTTACGGACGCGTAATAAATTTCTTCATGCGGCGGTTCAATTTCGCAGCTTTCATCCCTTCCATGAATCCTTTCCCCGAAGATTCTGAACAATACCTATTTAAGCGAGGCTTAATCGGGTATTAAATCGAATTTAATCGGCTTTCAACCGGCGGGTAAGTATCTCGGTTTCAAGGCTTCAACTTTATCATAATCCTCGATAATAGAAGTTCAATTAAGTTTATACAGGCTGAAATTTGCGGATGGTAATTTCGACAAATAAATCAGATTCATATCAATTCGAGATGATTGAAACGAAGAGGGTTTTTGCTTTTGAAAAATTAAAATTTAATTTCACATCTTTTAATATCTTCCTTTTTTTTTTTTTTTCTGGAATCGTGTTATTAATATTATCCCAAATTTGTGCAAATCTTTCCAATAATAGAAACGTTTATTTCGTAAAAATCGATCTTTTGTTCGGAAAATTTAATTATTATTAGATATGGAAATTCTTTTTTCAAAGAATTTACTTAGCGCTATAAATTTGGGAAACATTCAAACATACGAAATTCCTCCGATTGGTTGAAAAATAAGATAATCTTTGGGATTGATCGTAAACACTTTCGATTAAATGGCCGAAATTTTTAATATTTTCCAGTACGCGAAGGGACGCGAGATTTCTTGACATATTGAACGAAAGCGTGTTCACGATCTTCCTGCATAAATTCTGCTGAATAAGGAATGACTGCACGTGAACGGAATGAATAGAATCAGGTAAAACCTGGGGATAGGCGATTGGCCATCGTCCGAAATTTCGTGAAGAAAAAGGCGAGAAAGATGGACCTGGAAATTGTGGGAAAAACTCGGAAAGGGAGAAAGATGGTAGAAATGAGCCGAGTCTGCGCTCGACGGATCCGCCGACGGTTGGCTCAATTTATCTCAAGTTACATAAATTCGAGTTCGAATCGAAATGCAATCCTATAATGCATGGTCCACGTAAATTTCATTTGCGTGCGATTAAATTACGCGATTAAATTAAATAACGAGGATAAAATTACTTCATTACGTGATAATATTTAATTTATTACGTATCATTAAATTTTATTTACCTGTCGATGGAAATCGCCATTAACGTGAAGACGCTGGCGCATATGGTGAGGACAGCAATGAACTGGCAAATCTTGCAGTAAAGCGTGCCAAAAGGCCAATGGCTGTTCAACATGTAGACGTAATTGAATGTGACGTTCAACGTGGATACCATGGCATCCGCGATGCTCAAGTTTACCAAGAAATAATTTGTGACTGTGCGCATCCGTTTGTGGGCCATTACTATCCAAATCACTATCAGATTACCACCGGTTGCAACTATGATCATACCGGCGAACAATAACGTCCATATCATTTGTCTCCACCATGGAAGTATGAACTGATTTCTCAATTGTAGATCCGTGATATTCGTGTTATTGTGGTAAGTGTAATTCTCCATCAATAAAGAGATGTTCCACAGGTCGGTGTTCCACAGGGTGGAATTTAAAAAAACTTCTATGGTCTGCATTTTTTATGATTTTAATTTTATATATATAGAATATATCACTTTCAGCAATATTTCCACACTTTTCACATTTTCGGTATATCAACGCGCAATATTTCAATCTTTATTAATTAATTTTATATTATTATTAGATGTATTAATTTTTTCTTTTTTATTAGGAACCTTACGATTATACACCTGTAAAAATTGTTTTCATCGTTATTTAAATTTCGTTCGTTTGAATACGCGATTTATTTTCTATTATTATAATATTATTATTATTATTAATCATTGTTTTTACACTCGAATATAACGGCACTTCTATAACACAGTACACGTCCCACCCACCACGATTCATATCCATTTCAATCGTTCAAAACAATTTTCTTATTCTCCATTCGAAATTCCATAATAAAATTAATTTCACTTCTGACCAATTTTAATTTCTCATCCATTTTCATTTCTGTGTGCTAATTTCGCGACAAGGTATCTAGGAGCACGTGTTTCATTATTTTCGTAATAGGGATATCGATAGTAATAATAATGTTGTTTCTATAATTATGCGGGGAGGGGGAGGGGAGGGAGGTGGACAACTCTGATTCGACTCGCACACAATTCTCTTCACTTCCACTTCTGTTTCACGCACCAACGCCTCTAACAGGCTTCCATTCGACTACTAAGTGATTACCCGTTGTCCATCTGGATTCAATTCATTCAATTCGCATTGTTGTTTTCTCTTTCGCGAGTTACGCACTATAAACCTTTTTCACCGACATTGACACGTTTCGAACATTTTTCGATCAGGGCCATCCGGTTTTTTCCACCAATTACGTTCCTCTGCCCTCATTTGGGAAACGATCATTCGTTTTCGACGAGGGCACGTTACATTATTTTACGTGTTTGCAACGAATGTTTGCATTTCTTCTTTCTTGAATCGACGCCATTTCAATAGTAACCTAACCGAGATTCTTTCCTTCTTTCTTTTTATACGCGAAATCTGGCGATCCACTCGTGTTTTCCTATCACGTTTCCTTGTAATGAAAGTGGCATCATTCCCATTGTATTCTTTTTACGATTCCAGACCTCCACCTCTAGGTAATTACCTCTCGCTACAAACTTTGTTGTTGCAAAGGAATCCTTCCCTGGATTCTTACAAGTTGCCAGATCAACATTTTCTACCACGATTGACAGGTATCTTGATCGAATTAAATATCGCTCTGTTCCATTTGTTCGAAAATATTTTAACTATACATTTATATAAATATAAACTTGGATAACGAGATTTCCTTGGTTTCGATTCCGTCTCTTTTTCCTTTTTTTACTCTCATCGCTTTTTAACTATCATCGATGTTTCTTCTCTTTCTTCGTGTATGTATATGTATATATATATATATAAAAAAAAGGAAAAAAAAAGGAGGGAGGAAATTCCTCTCTCAAGATAAATCTTGAACAATTCAATTCGTGCAATCAGTTTCTTAATGGATCTCTTTAATGTTCCATTCTGTAATATTCATTTTACGAATTCTTACATCTTATCCTTACCGACAAATGGTATACCTTCTTAAGAATAATTCATAGGTAGCGTTTCATTCCTCCAGAAGAAGAAACTCGGATTCGAAATCGGATACGCGAAACAGCATTCTTGGACAGCATTCCGCGAAAAGATCCACCTCTATCCGAGCCACAAACGAAACCAAGGATTGTCCTTTGTCAAACATCTCTTCTGTGTCGATAAGGCTCGGCTCCGCGAGTGCACGCGTACACAATGAATCGGAAGGGGAGAGAAAGCATCGTATTAACGAGAGTGCAATGGAATCCGCGGGTCCACGGGATAGATAGATAGATAGATATGGCTTCAAGTGCCACTTCCGTGAACCGTTGTTGGGCACGTCCAGAAGGACTAGGAGAAAATTATTTTCAGATGTCCGCCATCTAGAACGAGGACAAGAATGCTTCTGTTCACAGTCACGCCAGTTTCACCGATGCTTTCGACAATCTTCATTGGAATTGACGTTCCCCGCGACCGTGCTATCTATTCCTCTTCGTTTGCCCGAATTCTATCAGTTTCAAAACATTTTGTCACGTCTGCAATTTCATGGAAACCTCGTTTCGTCGATCCTTGTAAACGGCCAGATCTACAACAATAATTACAAAACGGATTATTCTTCTTTTTTATAATAAATATTGTTCGCAAATTTGTTTTGTATTATAATTATGGCAAGTACGTACAGATAGGTAAAACAGTTAAAAATATTCAGATATTTATGTTAACGCACAACGTGTGTTATGTAAAAAAAATTTAAACTAAATTTTGTTAATTTTCTTCATTTAATAGATTATATATGATATAGATAAATATGGGAAACGTATTGACGTGGATAAATTAGTTTTGTAGCGTCTTATCGTTTATGTAAATTTCATTATAGCTTCGTTATCATTCTCTGATGAAGCGCATAAAAAATCGATAGAGAATAGACAAGGCGTGTTTCTATTATGAATGTATGTATTCTTCCTGACTATCAAGCTATCAAAAAATAGCATTCATTTTACCTGATACAAGAATAGAAATAACAAAAACGAATATATCGTATTTCTAAGGATTGTTTTTGTTTATACGTTATATGATTGAATTTAAAATTGTTCAATTGTTATTGTTTCTTCGTGGACGTCAATAATGTTAACAAATATAAATTATTTATGAAAGTTATTATACTTCGTAAAAAGTATCTATACTGTATTCTATATTGTATCGATTTTCTTTACTTATTGTTCCTTTTGTATTTCTACAAGTTTCCGTTCATGTATCTTATAGATTTATCCTATATCCAGCATATATAAGTGACATCTGCTGTTTAAAGTATCAAATTAAATTAATAACTATTCTATTAGTAGAAAATAAATTAAAAGATTCTAAGACCGCGTGTATTCTTAATTTTTTAACAATTTACTTTATTTATCATGAAATGTATCATAATATCGTTTCTTAATCTTATTGTATACGATTTTAAAACCCATATATTTTTATTTAATTTTACATTTACGTTTCCAGTTATATTTATTTAATTTCACACTTGTAGGTTATGTTCCCTATACGTTATGATAATCTATATATACATACATATTATGTATTACATATTAAATGTGTTGTAAAATTATTAAATCGCAAGAGGAGAATAGAAGAGACGTAACGATTGAACTATGTTTAAAAATAGTAATAAAATCTTGTTAATTTTTTCAGAAATGATACAATTCTTCGTTTCATTTCATGTTTATTTGCGGAAGATAAAATGCGAGAAAGAAATGAAAGTAATTGTAAATGAATAAAAATCAATCCCCCGTAACTAACATTATTGTTGCTAAACCGTCATAAAATTCACGAATGAAAAAAAAAAAAAAAATTGCACGAACGTCAATTTACGTAATTTTATCGAATTTTTGAACACGAGTGCATATTGATACAAAATTTTTCGACGAAACGATATCTAACAATGTTATCATCAAGTTGAAACTATCCTGTAAATATTTTTCCTTTATTTTTCTACAAATATATTTTTTTTATCGAACAAGTTCGATATGTATATATTTTTAGAATCATAATTTCGCATTCACTCTCGTGAATCGCGTATTCAAATTCTGCCGTGCAATTGTATATCATTACATCCGTGTGGTACGTGAAAATGGAACAGTTGATGGTGAAAGATGTTGCTATCGAAATGGTTTACGATCGATACATTCGATACTCGAGAAAGAGGCGTGCAAAGAGAACGTTATCGAGATGATTCTTTTTTATTCAAGGAATTACTCAAATAATAATCTTACAATTATTTAACGATTACGTAATATCTAATTAAATCCTCAAATAATAATTGTGTTCTGAAAATTTTATAAATACCATATAATTTTCCGAAAAATATATATTAATTTAATTAATTTATCGATGAAATTATAATACTTTGATACAATCTCACGTCACGTCCACACTTTGTTCGCGAATTTTGCACAATTGCCAATAGTGTGCATTTCAAACATTTCAGAATCGTTCGCAATCTCATACGTTAACTATCATCTCATTGTCGAACAATTCTCCTCGCCAACAACTAATATACGATATTTTTGTTTTTGCTTGCCCGAACAACAACCAAAAATTTAAAAAAAATTAAAAATTAAAAATTAAAAAAACATATTTATATTAATTCCAATGTCTTCCTTCAAGTATAATCGTCTCATAATCAGCGAATAATTCTGTAAGTTCTTGCTTTACTTTATTTCTGTTCCTACTTGCTAGATCAATAACAAAAATTTCCAAAACATATTTATATTACTCGAATGTCTCCTTTCAATGATTGTTTCATTATCAATCAATAATTCTGTAACTGTTTGTTCTAGTTCCTACTTGCTCGAATAATAACAAAAATTTATAACATATTTATATTACTTGAATGTCTCCCTTCAACGATCGTCTCTTTATCAACCAACAATTCTACAACTGTTTATTCTAGTATATTTCTGTTCCTGCTTGCTCGAATAACAAAAATTTACATATTTATATTATTTCAATGTCTTCCTTGCTCGAACAATACAATCGTTTCATTATCAACCAACAATTCTGCAATTGTTTGCTCTAGTGTATTTCTGTTTCTACTTGTTTGAATAATAATCAAAAATTTAAGAAACATATTTATATTACTCGACTGTCTGTCTGATCATCTTCAAGTCTGATCATCTCATTATCAACCAACAATTCTACAACTGTTTGCTCTAGTGTATTTCTGTTTCTACTTGTCTGAACAATAATCAAAAATTTACAAAACATATTTCTGCAATTGTTTGCTCTAGTGTATTTCTGTTTCTGCTTGTCTGTACAATAATCAAAAATTTACAAAACATATTTCTGCAACTGTCTGTTCTAGTATATTTCTGTTTCTGCTTGTCTGAAGAATAAACAAAAATTTACAAAACATATTTTTGCAACTGTTTGCTCTAGTGTATTTCTGTTTCTGCTTATCTGAACAATAATCAAAAATTTAAGAAATATATTTATATTACTCGACTGTCTGATCATCTTCAAGTCTGATCATCTTATTATCAACCAACAATTCTACAATTGTTTGCTCTAGTGTATTTCTGTTTCTACTTGTCTGAACAATAATCAAAAATTTAAAAATATATTTCTGCAACTGTTTGCTCTAGTGTATTTCTGTTTCTGTTTGTCTGAACAATAATCAAAAATTTAAAAACATATTTCTGCAACTGTTTGCTCTAGTGTATTTCTGTTTTTACTTGTTTGAACAATAATCAAAAATTTAAGAAAATTAATATTTATATTACTCAACTGTCTGTCTGATCATCTTCAAGTCTGATCATCTCGTTATCAATCAACAATTTTACAATTGTTTCCTTTAGTGTATTTCTGTTTCTACTTGTCTGAACAATAAACAAAAATTTACAAAACATATTTCTGCAATTGTTTGCTCTAGTGTATGTCTGTTTCTGCTTGCCTGAACAATAAACAAAAATTTACAAAACATATTTCTGCAACTGTTTGCTAGTGTATTTCTGTTTCTACTTGTCTGAACAATAAACAAAAATTTACAAAACGTATTTATATTATTCCAATATTTTCCTTCAAGTCTGATCATCTCATAATCAGCGAATAATTTTGCAAAGTTCTTGCTTTAGTTTATTTCTGTTCTTGCTTGCTTGAATAACAAAAATTTAAAAAACATTTATATTATTTTTCCTTCAAGTCATCCTTCCTCTCATAGTCAACGAATAATTCTGCAACTGTTTGCTCCACGATATTTCCTTTTC